TGTCGGTCGCTGCAGGAAACTTGGTGTATATAAAGCTTAGAAAACTGGGTTTATCCCTCAGCACTGCCCAATGGGCAAGGTAAATATTTAGCCCCAGCCCTGGAAAGATGCCTGGTAATTCTATTCTTCGCTATCACTTTTCCTTTTATTCATTCATCCTGCAAGCATTTGTGGATGGCTAGGAATGACCCTCCGTCCTTCCCCCGGGGAGTGTTGGGGTAGGGCAGGGGAGCAGAGGTGAGAGGAGGCACCACAAGAAAGCCGCTTTTCAGCTGGGGCTTGGCTGATGTTGCCGTGTCGCCGTCACCCCATACTGACCTGGTGATTTCTACACCCGAGCTTCCCTGTAAGACAGGACTCCCGTAAGTGGGGACTCAGAAGAGGAACTTTTGGGTCAGCAGCACTCAGTTTAAAGGAAGCAGTGAGAACTGTGGGCGCTCTCTCGGAGCCTCTTTCCTCCAAAGAGCGCCACAGCCTAGGGAGGTGAAGAGTGGGCTTAAGCAGCAAACTCTCTGAGTTCAAATCTTGGCTCCACCACTTGTCAGCCGTGTGTCCTGTGCATTTGATTTCCCTCATCTGAAAAATGGGAAAGATACAAATATGCCTCTGAGAAAGTTATTGCACGGAGAGAGCACGAATAACTTCACCTGAGGAAATAGTAGCCGGCGTTGTTATCCCTGCAATCCAGGAGAGACTGTCACAGGGAGTTTATGTTCAGGATCAGTGAGATCATAGGTGTAAAGTACTGTATTTTGGGAAGGGCAGGGCATAAAATAGTAGGTGTGAAACAATGATAGCTAAAGTGGTCAAGGAGATAACCCAGTGAATGCATCTGGTGCACAGAAAGGCTCAGCTCCCTCCTGAAACCTGTATCCCACCCTTCCTGCACTCCAGCCTGAGGTAGATAGGGCACTCCCACCTCTCTTGTTGGTTTGTAAATAAAACCCTAGCACCAGGCCTCTCCTTAGGACCGACCACCCACCACCGACCAAGGATGACAGCCAGGCACTGTCTGATGCTCTACTCTGCAAGATAGCTGGGGGAAGGAGGCACAGGACTGCAGGAATTGGTCTCCAGTGCGACCAGGCTGGGGCTGGGCAGAGACTGAGAGGGCACAATGAAAGACTTCCCTGGCACAGGCCTCTTTGGGGTCACTAGAAAGTGGTGGGGAGGGAATCCACAGACAGCAGGGCCTGCACAGTCCTCATCCTGAGGCCACGCCAGCTGCCTTCCTACAGGAGCCCAACACTAGACTCTCAGAAGGGAGAACTCCTTGGGCCAGGATGTGACCAGACAGTTCCTGAGTGGGGTGGCAGTGGGGACCAGCGCGGGGAGGCGGAGGAGGAGAAGAAAGTGGCAGTCGTTGCCTCTGTCAGTCGGTCCCTTCTCTGGCTCACTCTTCTCTCTCGGTCTGAGTTTCCTCAGGTAGGTGGGATAGAGGCAGGATCATTGAGCCTTGTAAATAAACATTTCTAGGACCACCAGTTAAATCTAAATGTCAGATAAACAACAAATTACGTGTTAGCCTAAGTATATCCCATGCAGTCTGGGGGTTACGAAAACAATCTTTGGCTGTTTATCTGAAACCCAAAGGAAATGGGGTCTCCTGTGTTTTATAGAGTTGGGGGCTGTGTAGGCCTTGTGCCTGGGAAGCCTGCTACAAATCCAGGAGGAACAGGCTTACTGACAGTGAGAGGCACAGAGCCGGGAAGGGAGAGCTGGACACAGAAGGCCCACTTGGTGGCCCTGCAGCTCCTTGGGAAGGAGAGCAGAAAGGATAACAGGAAAGTGGTCTCAGACAGACTAGTCCCCAAACCAGAAAGCAGGAGGGACTGGGGACAGGGAGGCTTCCCTTCTCTTGGAGCCCAACTCCAGCCCTGGCCCTAGCCCATGCAAGAACTGCAGAGCACCCTGGAGCTCAGCGGGTTCCCATTCGTCCCGAGCGAACTCTAGACTGTAGGCAGAGAAGCCTGCTCCAGTGGACACATCATCTGTGTATGCCTGGGACAGTGCTAGGGGACGTCCCTGATGTCTCCAAGGTAGCCCCACCTTCTCTGAGAAGACTGCTGCTTACCATAGAGGTGAGTCATGGGCTCCACCCAGCAGCCCCAGCTGTAGGTCCTACTACCCATCAGCACTCTAAAGCAATTGTAATAATAACTACAAAATATTGAATCCTTCCTCTTGCCTAGGTCACCTGCCCAGGTTTGTTCGTTTGTTCTGCTCATTTGTTTCATGTTTTCGTTGTTTTGGGGTCAGCGTCTAAGTGTTCGTTGCTTTTCTCTCATTGCTGGACAAAATACCAGACAGCCAAAGTTAAAGGGGAAAAGGGTTATCAAGCTCACAGTTTGTAGAGGTTTCAGTCCATAACTGGCTGGCTCTGGGGCAGAGTGGCATGTGGCGCCCACTCGGTGGCAGAAGCTAAAAGGGAACCTCAACGGTGTTTTTCTGCCCCTTTTATTTTATCCAGACTTCCAGGATTAAGGCTGTGCCAAACCAATCAGCGGAGTGATTTAGTAATCACAACCCCTTAAATCCCAGCTCACACACTCTAGACTCATAGAATCATAGCTACCTATGACCACATGAGGCTTTGGGGGAACATCTAGACCCAAACCATAATCGTCTATCTCATTATGTAATCCAGGCAGATCTCCTGCCTCAGCCTCCCAAGTGCTGGGATTACAGGTGTGTGCCACCACACTTGGTGATGTGACCCCAGGCAGTGAAAGCTGTCATCACCCCCATTTTATAGACGAGGGAACTGAGGCTCGGGTGAACTGAATTATCAGAGGCATCTACTGGGCAGTGGATGGGCATTCAACCCCAGGCTGTGAGACTGAAGCCTGCGTCCCAGGGTGCCTGCAGCCCTCTCCTGCCTCTGTCTCCCAGACCTGATACTCCTGTGCTGCTGTCTGCTGTATGGTCAGGAGCCTTGGAGGAAGGGCCTGACTGGACTTTTTCTTCCTAAATCATTAGTCTCTGGCACAGAGGAAATAGCTGTGTTTGTTGAAAGAGTAAACCTTGTTGAAAATAAAGCTTGTTCTAAAACATACCCAGGATCCGTTCCCTGCTTTCAGCTCCCCGGTCCCTCTCCCTGTTCTTTCAGGCCCTGGCGGCAGCCAGCACTCAAAACAAACTGAAGGACCTCCTATGTGTGTAATCGAAGTGGAAGGAACCTTGGTGACTGGTCTATCTTTCTGTCTCCTCCAGAGGAAGCTCCACCCTGGCCTGCATGGGCCCTGGGACATCCTCCTTGCTCAGGAGGTCACGCCATTGTCCCCTATGCAGATAAACAAGCAGCCACAGGACACTAGGATGCATGCAACGGGAGGTGCGATACTCAGTGAGATGGCAGGGCCAAGGCCTTGAGTGCGTGGATAAACCAAGGCCAGAGCGGGGAGCCGTGCCTTTGTGACCACCTCCTCATCCCTTCCCAGCCCAGGTGGAAGCCCAGCACCACTCACAAGGGTCTCCCTACAGCCATCCCCTGAAGTTTGTGATGCAGCTGCTTATACTGTCCACGTGCGCGCTCGCACACGACACCTCTGTGCCCTGACTCGGCCCCTCTGGACCCTTCCTCTCCCCCTCCTACACTCGGTCGGATCAGAGCCACAGGAAGCAGGGCCAGCAAGTGCGCAAAGCAAGAGCCAAGATGAGGAAGTTTATCTTCCAAGAGTTATCTAAACATAGAGAATATTTTTAGCCCCTGACTCCTGCCTGGATGCTAAATTGAAACGGGGTGGGAGAAGTGCCCTGCAGGGATTGAAAGCAGCCAGTGGACACCAGGTCGGATGGGGTGCTGCAGGCCCCGTGCTGTCCCTGCCACAGCATCCATTTCCTCTGCGTGATGCCACTGTTGGAGGAGAAAGCTGGCTGTGGGCCGAAGCTGTGCACTGACCCCAGGCTCTAAGAGGCTCCCCGAGCCTTCTCGTGCCTCAGTTTCCCCACTCATACAGTGGGAGAAATTATACCCCTCTGGTAGGATTATAAAGCACACGCCTGATACATAGTAGGCATTCAACCATGTGCTTCACACTCTGGGTCAAGCGCCTACCAGTAAAGGGCCCGAAGTGTGCAGTGAAGTGTGCGTGTGTGTGCGTGTGTATGTGTGTGCGTGTGTGTGTACATACACACACACGCACACACACCTAACACAGTCACCTAAGGGATGAATGAGAGCTGGTGACTAAGGGGGTACTGGTAGCCCTGTACCCACTGACAACTGGCTCGGGAGAGAACTGGGTGCTGGTCACACCAGGCACAAGGAGCTTAGAGCCACCTTATCCGGAGTGGGGGACCACTGGGGGCCTCGGAGGTATTGCAGAGGGAGTGAAGTTACTCTCAGGGGTGGAAGCTCTTCAGGAGTACACACTCTCAGGAAGCAATGCTCACCGGCCTTGGCCTCCACGGAGTGGGGCTGAGCCGGGGAACACACTGCCCCCTCCTGGGTGGCCAGGTGACCTTGCCAGGAGTCGTGCTCTGGCAGCACCTGCTCTGCCTCCGGGCCACAGGGAGGGCAGGCAGGACGTGGGCAGGTGGCCTGGGCTGTGGACAAGCTGTGCCCATGTTGGCTCTGCGGGCCGGGGTGATCGTTAGCAGGTGGGGATGGGCAGGTGTGGGGGTGTGGCGCGTGCCTTCCACCCTGGTGGGAGACGCTGAGGCTTCCCTGTTGTGAAGAGCCGAGGTTTCCTTGTTCTGCCGCCACATCATTCCCGGACTGCTGCCTTCTGCCAGGGACTGGGGCGGACATGCAGATGGGAGTGGGAGGCGAAGTTCTGACCTCGGAGTCCCGAGCCTGGGAGGCGGCCAGATCCACCCCATCCACCCCATCCACCCTGCAGGCTGCGTGAGAACCAAGGGAAAACAGCCTCAGCTGCCATCTGCACACCCCCTGCTGAACAGAAGGCCTGACGTTACCACAGCAATGGCAACACCACCCCCCTGCTGTGAGGTCACCGGTGGGGGGCGGGTTTATTCTTGGTCACAAATGGAAAAGGGAGAAAGGTGTAGGGATGGGGAGCAGCGTTTCTCCCTCTCCCAGGGCTTCTCCAGAGGTGGCCAGGGACATGGGAGCGTCAAGGTGGGAGGTGGTTTAGGGGCTACCCCCTCCAACCAGTTCCCTGCCCTAGGCAACAGCCCACAAGGCCTTCTACGACTCATGCCTTTGGTAGTGTGAGGAAGCACACCAAGGTCATGTGGCCGGTTCTTGTCCCTTTCCCCAGGTCTGAGTTTCCACAAAATCCAGCCCTGCCTGGATAATGGGGTCTGAGAGTCTGGGGGTCCAAAGGGCGTGGGCTGCAGGGCCTTCCCTGGGTCACGTCTTTCCTTCTCCCCTGGTTTTCTCAGGGACCTTTCCCTCCCCGCCCACCTCCCACTAGTCTCAAGCCCTCCCCTCCCCCTCAGGCCCCAGGAGGGAAAAACGCCACCAGAGACACAATGGCGGTGGGGGAGGGGCGGTCCTTCCGGATCAGTCCCAATTCCTCTTCCTGTCACACCCCATGGCTGACCCATCCGCAAATCCTGCTCCCTGACTAGGACTTGGGCAGTAGCCTGGGAACTGTCCCTCCTCTGCCTTCCCCTCCACCGCCCCTGCTCCCTATGCAGCTCACCGCTTCCCATGACTCTGGCGGCTCCCTGTCTTTACAGGGTCCTACAAGACCCCGATAATCCGTGTCCCCACACCTTCTGCACACAGTTTGGCCGCTCCTCCCTCCTTGCTGTGCCTGCTGTGTCCAGGCTGGCGCCCTCCCTCCAGCCTGAACACACTGTCCTCAGATGGCCCGCTTCCCGCCTCCCTCCAGTCTTCCGGATGCCCCTTTCCTGGCCGCCATGTAAACCCCCTCCTTGACTTACTTTCTCCACAGCACCGGCTGCCTTCTGATGTCACAGACAACGTGTCCCTGTGTCCCTTTTATTTATAGTCCGACTCTCCACAGGACTGCGCACCCCAGGAGGGAGGCACTTTCCTCTGTCCCACCCGCTCCATCTCTTCTCTCCCCACACCCTTGCCAAATCTCCAGTGCCTGGAACATAAATGCTGAGAAAGTGTGTGTGCAAACATATGCACTCCCAGCTCCCACCCTGCCTGAATGGGACCCCACACACCCCTGCTTCCCCCGGGACAGAGGAGAAAGCACTGGGCCAATGCTGTGGTGGACTCTGCCCTGGTCCCAGTACATGGCCTCTATCCAGCCGCGCCTTCTTGGGCCTCAGTTTCCCCAACTGAAGAGACTAGGCTGGAGCTCCTCTTGCATTCACCACATAGGCCCTCCAAGGGCAGAAGGGAGTGGGGTGGAGATGGAATTCCCTCAGAGACGCAGGACACATGGCAGCGCCTGTGTAGAAGAGCTCTCCAGGCCTCAAGGCCCCCGCCCTGGAACGGGTCGGGCAATGGGCACAGCGCAGAAGCAGTTGCGGGAAACAGACTTGAGAAAGGTTTCTCAAAAAATACACCCATATTTTAATCACCCAAAGTCCAACCTGAGAAGCAAAAGGAATGGAAGCCAAGCCTCTGAGGGCTGAGGTCAGAGAGCACTGTCCAGGAATGAGCCATCACCGGAGGACACCAGCCACCAGGCAGGTGAGTGTGGGCACCAGCAGAGCAGGCAGGGGCAAGGGCAGTAGCTGTCCTGGGGCCCGGGACGTGTACACCAGACGGTCTCCCAGATGCTGCAGGGGTCTGACGTTGTCTGTCATCCTCATTTTCTGCTCCTTGTCATAATACAGCTTCTGGGAGAATGCCAGGATCTGTGGAAGGGACAGGCAGGAAGAGGCAGAGGGAGCGGGTGCGAACACACACCCTGCCCTGCTGTGTGACCTCGGGCCAAGAGCCTCTCCTTTCTGAGGTCCCTTCAGGAAAGAAGGACCCAAAGCCACTACTACTAATGCTGTTATGAAGATTGAAAAACATAAGGGATATAAAGTGTGTGCCGTGGGGGGATCCCATACGGTCCCCTAAGTCACAGCCACAGGGCCTGCTCCATACTTTGACTATCATCACAGTTTGGCACAGTGCCGCCAAACTTCAGCACACGTTAGCCTATTGGGGGGCTTGGCGGGCCTCCTCCCCAGAATATCTGATTCCTGGTCTAGGGAGCTGAGCATCGGCATTTCTACCTAATTCCCACTGGCAATGACATTGGTGCCGCTGGCCCCTGCTATGGAAAAAAAAAGGCAAGGCCAAGAATGTGAGTCCTTTTGACTCACTGCTCTCTGACCAGTGGCTAGTATAGTGCAGGATTAGTGCCATTTGTGGAATGAATGATCTATTTCCCGTGGCTATTAAGCAACTACTGGCCAGCCCCAAGCTCTGCCCTCCCCCAGCTCACCTCCCTCCCTAGACGACGGCTTCCTGCCTAACCTGGCTGACTCACGTCGACTGTTCTGGAAGCCTGTTCTGACCATCCTTTCCACAGTCTTTCACCCAGCCCTCCCAGCAGGAAGAGCCCAGATCTTTCTCATCTGCTTCCCCAGTGAAGGGAGGACTGAACCTGGGGCACACAGAGCCAAGACTTCCGGGGAGCCTGGGGATGGGAGGCTGCACCTGGCTGGGGCCCTGCTTACCTGGTCTTTGTGGAGCTGAATATGCTCCTTGAACACGGTCCAGACAACGGTCTCATCACAGTCCGGTGTGGTGAGCGAGCCCTGGTAGCGGAAGTAGTGCCTCAGTTTCCCCTTCTTGGGCAGCAGGTCCATTATGCTGCTTGGTTCCATTGTGGTGCTCATATCTGGGGTGGGGGACAGAGCCTCTCACAGACCTCACTCTGACAGCAGCTGCCTCACTACCCTGCCCCTTCCTTCATGGGGAAAGGTAGCATCCTCCCCCGAATGGACTCACTGGGTATGGGGATACGGTCCAGGGCCTCCACCAGGGGCCTGAAGCCTTCATTGAGTTCATCTCCCTCCTGCAATGAGAGAGCCCGTGGCTTTGGAAGGGTCCTGGGCAGGCGACCTCCAGGGCATTCCGATCCAGAGACCAGCAGGCAGCTTCTGGGATTGAGGCCCCACTGTCCCAGGGAGCACAGGGGCAGTCACCCCAGCTCTCTAGATATGCAGATCAGCTTCTCCCACTGGAACAGGGGACAAGTGGGAGCCCTACCTCTACCAGGAAGGCCAGCACCGCAATCTTGTCTTTAGGGTTCTCTTCCTCGACGCTTGATGTGCCTGCCCCCTTCTCGTGGACGATGTGCATCTGGTAGAGGGTGAGGGGGTGGGGAAGAGTGAGGGCGCGGACTACCCTTCTGGCCCACCCGAGGCGAGTGCACCCAAAGCCCAGCGTGGTGGGGACCCTCACCTCCATGGCAAAGCGTTGCCCGTTAAGGCTGTGTTCCGAGCCCTTGTCTACCTTCTCGGACCAGTGCAGGTGCAGCTGCGTGGCCCGATACTGTGTGGTGAGGCCTCCTCCATTGATGGCGACACCAGACTCCAGTGACACCATTACTGGGGGGACAAAGGAGGGTCAGAGTTCTCACACTGGCCTCTCCTGGGCCTCTCCCAGCTGCCCATCCCAGCTTCACCCACACTGGACACTTCTCTCCCAACTCTACCTCCTCCTTCATGGGCTCGGGTCCTGCGGGATGGGACAGGGCAGTGCAGCCCCAGCCCTTTACCTGCCACCTCACTGGCCTCTCTCCTGTACACCCCCTGCTGGCCCCAAGTGCAACTCTTCCCTGGTTTCTCCTCCGCTTTGGCCTCCTGGAGGAGCCCTGCTGCCCTCAGGGTAATGTCCAAGCTCCTCGTCCTGGGGGACCAGGGCCTTGCCTTGGTCCCTCCCAGCATCTGTCTGTCCTCCCCGCACTACTACTCATACTGTAGTTCCCCGAACCCAAGCTGTTTCACGCCTCCGTGCCCTTTTTCCTGGAACCTCCCCTTCCCCACCCCAATCTGATCTGAGGAGATGACTGAAGATGCAGCTAAACCATTTCTCCTCCTCCTCCAAGAGTCCTCTGCTCCTACCCCACACCTCGCCGTGGGGTTCTCAAGCCCTTCTTCAGCAAAGGGGGACTGGGCCTTGCCCACCCTGCCTGTTGGAGCCCTGCTCTCCCTGTGCTCAGCTCCTCAGGGGTCTCTGGACCGGAAGCCGGTACACCTGACACCCACCTGAGTGCCCATTGTTCTGGACAGTCCTCCTTTCCTTCTTGTCATAGCCAGAGAAGGAGAAGTCCCCCAGGTGGTGGTCCAGCCTGGTCTCATTGGTCATGATGTTGATGGGTGACTGGTGGCTCTTCTGGCAGTCTCCACCCCATTGGTCAGGCCCTGAGCAGGGAGAGAGCGGGGCTTCTGGTCAGGGGCACCGCTGCCCTGAGGCCAGACCCACATACCCACGGGTGGCAGCGGGCGGAGAGGCTCCACTTCCTGGCCTTCCTCCTCCTCCACGGACACACAGCAGCCAGGTCGGGAGGCTGGCTGTGGTGTGGCACAGGGGGACAGGGTGGTCTGCTGGAGGCTGTGGGCACTGGGGTAAGAATGGGTGCACCGTGTGGGGCCCTTGCATGGTAACCTGCTGCCTGGGAGCTGAGGAGTGGGAGGGAGGCAGTGAGGCCCAGAGGGGCCTGGCTTCCCACACCTGACAACTCCAAGCTGGGCAGGGCCAGGGCTGGGCCAAAGAAAGCAGACTGCAGGGAAATTGGTCATCGGAGTAAAAAGTGCCAAGAACCATCTCTGGGTCCCCCTGAAAAGGCATCACTGGAATAAAACCAACTCTCCATTGTGTTGGGGGAGATGGCAAAATGTGCTTCTCTCTTTAATGCTGCTGCTGATTTATTTCCCAGGAACTTCCCCCTCTCAGTGACAGGAGGGGTCAGTGAAGACTCAGGGCCCTGTGTTGCATGTTCCCTGAGCGTGCGCACGCATGAGCGCGCACGCACACACACACACACACACAGGTGGGGGACTGTCACCCTCATCCTCTCCACCCTCCCTGGGTCTCCATCTCCACCTGAATGGCCCACACTCTGCAGAAGGGCCTGTCCCCAAGGCTGGTACAACTCACCCTCGCAGCTGAATTGAGGGTTCTCGGCTTGAACTTCATAGCACCAGTGTGACTCTGGAGCAGAGAGAAGAAGGGAGTGAAGCCAGTGTATGCAAATTGTGTGCACAGGACTCTAAGTGGGAAGGAAACCTCAGAAAGCACAGGAAGCCAGGCATGGTGGTGCACGCCTGTAATACCCGTACTTGGGAGGGTGAAGCAGACAGAGCACACTGAGATCAAGGCCAGCCTGAACTAGCAGACCCTGTCTCAGAAAAAAAACAAAAAAACAAGCATAGGAATGTTCCCAACCCCCAGGAGCTGCTCTAGGTCATTGTTCTCCAGGGGGTCCCTCCGTGGCCCCTCAGCCCCATCCCTGAGGCTGCCCAGAACACTCCCCATTCCCTGATCATCAGCCTTGCCCTCCCTCCCTCCTTCATGCCAGAAGGAGGCTGTGCTTCCCAGGTCATGAAGACGTAGGCAGCCTGTCCAAGGACGCCCTGTCTCCTTGTACTGTTAAGACCGCCCTCTTTGTGGACAGTAGAGCTGACCCCTCCGAAAAAAGGCTGCACCACAAGCAGACCACACCAGCGCAGCTATGACACCAATGCAGACTGTGCTGTTGAGCACAGGAAGGGAAAGTGTACAGGGGCAGGGGCAGGCGCAGAGGGGGCATGTAGGAGGCCTCTATGCTCTGTGCTCAAGTTTTCCTGTAAATTTAAAACTTCTCTAGGGCTGGGGATTTAGCTCAGCGGTTCGGTGGCCTGCCTTGCAAGCGCAAGGACCCGAGTTCAATCCCGGGTACCTAAATAAATAAATAAATAAATAAAACTTCTCTAGACAACCACACAGACCAGCAGGATGAACAAAGTATTTTATCCAGAGCTAGAATTCTGGCTGAGCCACTTTGGAGCTGTGGGCTTAGGGGCAGGGCCTTTCATCTCTCTAAGCCTCAGTTTTATCATCTGTAAAATGGGATTAATATGCCCACATCATGAGGCTGTGGGATGAATTAACTGAGCAATGGCATGGAGTGGTCCACGCAGCCTGGAGCTTAGTAAAGTCATAGGGACAAGTCCTTCCCTTCTCCCTGCCTCTGAGGGCCTCCTGTCAGGGAGCAGACGGCCAAAGACAAGGAGGGGTAGGAGAAGGGACATGGAATGAGTTGGAAAGAACTCAGGGATGAGAGGATTCTAAGATAACCAGACTCTCAGATCAGCCACTGAGGCCTCTGAGAACAGCCCCTCCCACTTCATGCCAGGGCCGCCCTCCGCCATCTCCTCTTGGTCCCTGGGGTGGGGACAGGATCAGGAGGCCAGGGTTGAGGCAGTGGGATGGGGAGAAGGTTCTAGAGCAAGAAAGTGAGCACCCACAGGAAACTGGTCCTCGTTTCTTGTCTCCCAAGAATCACTTTGGGCTTTTAAATTTTCCAGTACCTTTGGCAAAGGTGCAGTATCTTCGTCCAAGTGGTGCAGCCCCTAGGAGCTGCTGTCCCGGGGGACCCCCACATGGGTCCACTCTGCAAAGGCAGCGGTCAGCACCTAGGCAGTCCCGTCCCCTTAGGTGGGCAGAGCGCTGAAGCTGCAGTCTGTTCCCTGCCTTCCAACCTTGCTCAGCCTCTTGCTTAACCTCTGCAGCAGAGGTCATTTGCTTTTCTGAGCACCAGGGACAGAAGGTAGCACCACTCCCAGGGCTCCCAAGGGTCCAGATGGAGGACTGGTAGTTGTGTGCACCGAGAGGTTCCTTGTTACAATCCCCGTGTGCATGGGTGATGGCTGAGCCTGCCTCTCCTCAGCAGTGAGCCCTGGGAGAGGGAGAGGCTATTCCGGTTCAAGCCAGGTCCTGGGAGCCAGCTCCCAAGGGTGGAGCCCCTCTCAACTTCCCAGGGGCCCATCTGCTCCAGGTGGAGCTTTGCCTAGGAATGTGCTCTTCCAGGGCTCAGCTCCAGCTTCTCCTGTGGTGACCTCTGATCCGCTGTCTTAATCACAGAGACTTTTGACCCGTTTGGCTGAACAGTGTTCTAACTACCCTTTTCGGGAGGCTGGAGCCGGGAAACACACTGGTGAGGAGGCCAAGACCAGCGGGCAGAGCTGTGTCCCTGGGGAGAGGGTGGGGTTTTCCCTCTCAGGGAGAGGACCATCCGCTCAAACTCACGTACTCTTTCATAAAAACCTTCAGCCCACTGTCTCAGGTCACTTCCAAGGGGGCCTGGGAAGGAGAGGGGCTACTCACAAACCATGCCCCCTAAACTGTGCCCATTCCAACCATTGCCCCACCTTTAACTGACCTACCACCCCATCCCCCTTCCTCCAAGACTAAGAAGCTCCCTCTCTTGGACCTTGCTCTGGGGGGGGGGCAATCCTGCACACCAGCTCAGCAAAACCCTTGTGCGTCCTGGGCAAAGTCCCAGCACCTCCTGGCCGGGGGTCTGGGGCTCTGAAGGGGGCCAAGTATCCTCTCCTGTCCCCTCTCTCAGTAGGAGCAGATGCTCCAGGGATTTCCATCTGTAACGGGTCACTTTCTAACCCGGGGGTGAATGGGTGGAGGAAAACAGGTCTTAGTCATTAAAAGGGGGAGCAGAGTTTGTGAGAGACTCAGCGGCAACAGATCCAGCTGGCCCCAGACCATGGGTAGGGCCTCATAACCGCCGTGTAGGGGCATCTGCCACGAGCCAGCCACACGAAGGAGCACGCGCGTGTGCACGCTCACGCACACACACGCCCTTTATGTTATTGGAATTTTTAGAACATCTGGTGTGACAATTTACTGTCCCTACACTGTGAGACGACTGTTTAAGTGACATACCCAGTACCATACAACGGCGATGCACTCGAGTTAATTATAATTCTTTCTACTAAATCCAAGCTGCTTAGTAGGTTTCAAATGTCCAAGCGACAAGTATTTTAACATTCTGCCTTTTCCCGCTGTTCTTCCCCTCTGGGAATGGGAATTAGGAGTTGCTGCAAAATATTCCCTGTCCCCCACACGGCCAGCTAAGTCCCTTCCACGAGGTGGCACACTCTATCCCGTCTGCCGCCGAGGGGACCCTGGCCCCGGGCCCCTCACTCCACTCCAAGGGGGAGCCCCGACTTCGGAGGGGAGGTTTGGCGGGGGTGGACCCCAAGAACCATTCCAAGGGTCGATCGGCCAGGACCAGGTCTTCTGTGAAGGGCTGTGGGGTCACGGAGAAGTTGCCGGCTCTGAAAGCGCCTTTAGCTCCTTATCAAATATTAACACTTCTCTCCAGCCACCTCCCACCTAGACGAATAATTAAGAGCTCGGTCTCACCATTAATCTTTAAACGAAAATCACTCTATCCGGAAAGACCGGCTGGGCCAGGACCTCGGATCTCCGCGTGCCCCCCGCCAGGCTCCCAATCCAGCGCCGGAGGCTGGGGAGCAGAGGGAGCCTGCGGCCCCCGGAGGCAAAGGACCGAGGGTGGGAATCGGGGCCTGGGGACGGGGACGAGAAAGGCGGCGGCCGGAGAAGCATCCTTATCTCGGACTCGCTGGTCTCGCCGTGGGACGCCAGGCAGCGCCCCGCAGAGTCCGCCCACGCCCGCAGGTGGGCAGGATCCCCGAGGGGCACCTGGGGGGTCCAATAGCCTTACACACAGAGGTTATTAGAAACCTTTATTCCTTTGAATTAAACTAAAATACTAAAAGGAGAAGGTACTTTCCAGGCACCTCCTTTCTTCCTTGCACTGCCAGGGCGAGGGCGAGGGCAGCAAGCAGCAGCCTCATGGTGCGCGACAGAGAAGATACCGCGGAACCCGGGTGTCGCACCGAGGGGGGTGTGTCGCGATCCTGCCCGCGGGGTTTTATAGCGGAGCCCCGAAGCGGGGCACAGGAGGCGGCTCCTCCTCCTGGCGGGGCCTCCCCTCCCATCGCCTGGTCCAGGCGCTCCCTTAGGCCTGAAGGGCTTCTCTGCTAAAAGTGCCTCAGAACAGTGTTTCTATCTCTGCCAGGCAGAGACCTA